TATTATCATTGAGCCAGTTGAGGGGCTGATGAGAACTGCTGTCCAGTGACATCTGGATGCCCCTTTTGATTGTATTTCTGTACAGTATAACACGAGTGGGAAATCTGTAGGCTTCTTGACAATGTTGGGCTACAGCAACTGCGCAGACTGGGGTTGATGGAGTTGAGCCCCTGTAACATTTAGAGAATGGCATTTTCCTCTTCCTTGCTGTACATTCTCTCCTGAAAGTAAACTCCACCTTGAACTTTCTGGGACTTCTGTGAAACCTTGTACTGCTAGTGAAATATTTTAAATATTGTTTTACATTCATAATGCAAGTTTCTTGGTAGGTGGATTGAAGCTTCCATCTCACCTGTCAGAAGAATGATGATTTGGAAATGCTTTTTTCAATTAAGTAATTCGCTCAGTGTTGTCTTGCATTGAAAATAGATGGTTACTGAGATGTGTAATTTGGTGAATAGAATCATTGGAAGAATGGGAGATAGAGGAAGAAAGCATGTATATGATCAATAATAACCATTTGGACTCAACTTTATGGATTGAGCCAATGGAGCAGATAGTGAGGGAATGAGAGACAGAAGTGCTAACTTACACAAAGGGAAAAAGTTCTGTATATCCTTTCAGATTTAAAACTAACATGTTTAGGATTGTGCTATGAGTGAGTTTTATAGACAATTTCTTTAGGATTTCTTTTGTAGTGTTGGAGTTAAAAATAGTTGGTCTTTTAATCAGGCTAGATAGCAATCCTTTATTTGTTTCAGGGTTCACATATATTAATATTTGATCAGATCTGCACAGTGTGAGATATTTAAAAGTTTTGATGAGGCAGGCAGCATTTCTGCAGTCCCAGCTGCATATTAAGTTCATATTTCCTCTCACCTGCAGGCAAAAGCAACAAATACTGAATACTATGGTTATGTAAAAGTTTTCTAAAAGAATGCATTTTATCAGGTAATACATGTTTCTCTAGATAAATAAAGAAATTAATCAGATCATTGCTTGAGTACTGACCCTGTATATGCAGTTCTAATGTTGGAGGCTTACAGTTTGCTTATGTAAAGTATCTGTTCTCTGAAACTGAAAATGAAAATGCAGTTTTTTGCACCCTGATCCAAAACATAATGGCCAGAATTCTATTGATAATTTATGCTGCTATAAATGAAATGGTGTAAACTGAGACAGTGAATTGTCAGTAGTTAATAAGTTGTTCTTTGTATTCTGTACTGTGTGCCAAGTCATGTGATCGATGGACAACAGGAATACAAGTGACACCTTGTTACCTAGCGTTAGTTTACTACAGTATTGCAATTTATGCTGGTGTACTTATGCCAGTGTACATAGGCAATAGGATTGTGGTCACTTATTGAAAAGTATGTCCCATTTATTTAAAGTTAATGTACCTAAAACTGTGGCTTTGGATTCCAAAATAGTATTTCAACTGAATATGTATTTTTACAAATGTAATTAGTTGGTAATTGATGTGACTTGGAGGCTTTCCAAATTGTTTCCTGTGCTTTGTTCCCATGCTTCTATTATCTAAATCATTTTCTTGCCCTAGTTAAGCATAATTTCTCAACTCTCAAATCCATTAGGTAATTCATACAGAGTAATGCCATGATGTTTTTGAGAAATATGTGTGTGATCTTTTGTAGCAGTGTGGCTTCATTTGAAAATTGACTTTAAAACTGCTGTGTTGGTCCACTGATAAACAGATTCATGTGAAATGAGGCAAGAGTTCTCTGAATTGCCATGAAGTAAATCTAGGGTTTCTCAAAGGTTTGTGAGTGATCCAGAGACAAACGGAGGGGTGGGGAGATAATGTATCTACAAAATTTGCAGCATTTTTCCTGATGTTTTCCTTAAGGAAAATAGCAGGGTGGGAAAAGCGAGGGAGCGTAAATTATCGATCTTCTAATCCTAGAAATGATATTACCAGGATTCCCTAGTCATAAGTGCTTTCAGAGCAGGATGTTGTATAAATATATTGGTTTACAGTAGTTCTCATGTTTGCCTTAGCTATTTTTGTCTCTTCCAAGCACAAAAACTGAAGGCTTGTTGTGACATTTTAGGAGATTTTTGGCTTGCTTTGTACTAGTACCGTACAATGAATATCCTATATTTCTGAAACATTTTTTCCCTCATTCCAACTGATCCTTTGACAAAATCCCTTCCCCCCATTCAGTCATGTAGTAAAATCCACATTTTAGTATTTTTCTTTCTATTGTTTATTTGAATTTATCTTCATTGATTGTTCTTGCTAGCAATTATATATAACCTTCTAGGTCTAATTTCATTTATGTATGCATAGTGTTTGTTTAGAGCTGTATGTTTTTAGTCCTTGACTACTAGAATACATTTCTTTCTCCTTTTTTGTTCTTCATATTTTTGTATTTGTACTCACACAATGTTGTATATATTTTATTTGAACCTTTTATTAAAAAACTTAATAAAATTTTGTATTTTGTTATTGTTTCTTATATTTCTATTGTACCTTTCCTTTAATGAGTTCAGTCTGGTGTGCTGCTCTTCCTCCTGCCATTTTTCTGTGCTCCAGGGTGATTTTGGGACAGAAAGAGCATTTCCGCTAATTTTCCAAAGCATTGGGTGGAGAGGCCCGCACTGTGCATGCAGGGTTCTGGCCATGACCAGAAGGAAATGGGTGGCAACACTGGCTTGGCTGTGCAGTCCCAATGCAGTGCTGCACAGCTGTGCAGCTTAGAAGGAATGTTGGGACTGGTCCAAGGTATTTCAGATCTCTTGAGCCTTAGTTCACCATTTCAGTCACTATACCACTCTGATAATCAGCTCAATGGCATGAGCTGCTTCATGAAGCAGATTACACAGTGTAGATCACTGTTCCTAGGCCAGAGATGGCAGAATGGCTACCCATAACCAGGTGAGTTCCCACCAAAGCTTAAATACTTTAGTTGCAAGAAGAGAAATTGGAGTGTGCAACATAATCAAATTCTCCTTTGCTTTGAGGGTGCTGCTGTTTGATCCAGCATACTCTAGGAGGAGAAGGCAGAAGGTGGCTCTGAATGTTGCATTGATAGCTCCTGTGGTTGATTTGGGAGACAAAAACAGTAACATGTTGACTGTAGAGCTGTCTAAGGAACTGTCTGATGTGGGCATTCTGGCTGGGGAATACATAAGGGTACTGTTGAATCAGGTCAGCCCCAATGGCCATGGGGACCACTGAGGTATGTTTCATCCGTGAGTGAGATGTTTCGATTGCCAGATCTCTGTATTTTGTTAATTTCCCCAGTTCTTTAGTTTCAATTCTGGCATCTTCTGGAATTGCAATGTCAGAGATCATTGTAGTGTCAATAATCATCATCAGTATCATCATCAAACCATGTATTTTCTAGAACAATAGACATATCATTCTAGATACCATGCATGTGGCCCTGGGATCAAGAGCAGCTTCTCAGACCCAGCACCTTCGGCAACTGGCAGAATGTGTTGGTGAAGAAGGTACAGGAGGTTCTATTGAAGAAGCAGAAGCCAAGCCACGCTGAAGAACTGGAGGCCTGCTCCTTCCAAAAGCAGCACCAATAGCTTTTCCCAGCTATACCAAGACCTATTAGCAGCACTAGAGGATTTGAAAACATTAGCCATAGTTTGGTGGACTGCATGTGTCTCTAAAGGTTGATCTCCAGTTGCAGGGATTTCCCGTCCTGAACATCTCTGAGTGCCATCCTCTTTCGGCCATTGAATAATCCTTCCTGCAACCTTCTTTGCTTAACTTTAATTTTCTTTTTAATTCTTTGTTTTTCAGTGTAGTCCAGTCATTTCCAATCATTTCCTTCTTGTTTCACTGAAGTAACTCAACTCTGAGTCTTGGTCACCTTTTGGTACTTCAGCACTCTGGTAATGGTGTTCATTTTAGCTAAATGCCCAGATCTCTTTCCCTGCTTGCTTTACTTGTGTCAGTGTGAAATTGTAAGGCCTCGAGATTATCAAGCTGAGTGTCACTTACATTTTGACACTCACTGATCTGTCTCACTTGCCTGGTTGCCTCCTCCATTATCTGCCTGCAAATCTTCTTTGCTCTCTAGCTGTTCCTGCAATGAAGTTTTAAACCTCAGCACTATGCTGCTCAAATGTGGTGCCAATTCTTTGATAGAGGAGTCTGTGCCAATCTGACATGTCTCCTTTTCCCCTATCATGAGACACACCCCATAAGTCTCAGGAAGTCATTTGTGTTGGTGCTATTCACTAAATCAAGCTTTTTCCAATGACACCATCTATTTTGCTTGTGGTTCAGTATAATTCTTTCCATTCCAGTGCCCTGAATATTGGCAGGAAGGATTGACTAGAACACAGTTTGTTGTTTTGGTTAGATGGCAAATCCATTTTCAATTGACATGAGATTACTGTATGTTAAGTCTTGACTCTGATCTGTAGTTATCTACCCTTAGCTACAATAGTTGTTTCATTGCATGACCTTGACATGTTAACACTAGTTGTGCTACCTTCATGGTTTGTAAATAAGAAGTCGGTTGCTCTCCAAATTTAGTAATGCTTGACACCTGCCTGTCATTATTCAGGAAAACTGGAACACGAACTCTTTCTTACCCTCGAGTGGAAGGAAGTTTTCTCTAACCATGACAGACTTTAAGGTTAAAAATTTAGATTTCCTGTGTGCCACAGATTGCTCAGTAAACTGAAGTGAAACAGTGGCTAGATATTATTATTATTATTTTAAATAGGATTTGTTTTGACTTCAAGCCAAACTAAATTGGCTCCACATCAGGGAATGATTTTCTTTCCAGAGATGCATGAGAGTAAAATTGTCAGACCATAGCAAATGATACTACTTTAAAAGCAGCAGAACTGTCTTCGAGTTTAATAAAATTATTACAGACACTCTGTGCAAATAAGAGATACTTTTATCTGAATTGCTTCTTTTCATCTTATTTAGACATAACTTGTCAGATTTGAGAATCATACATGGTATGGCAGAAAAAGTAGCTAATTTTTTTTCTTCTCATTTTCAGGCTTAACCCTTAATGATGCTATTGAAGATGCACAAGGCCAGGCCAAACTGCTATTACAGGTATTAAAACCAATGCCTCATTTCCAGGAAGCTCTTGAATCGAGATTGTTCATGGTGACTGAAATCCTGTTACTACAGGCATAAAGTTTGCTGATGGTTTGTGTGTCTGATTGCATAGCTACTTGCACAATTGTGTCTGTAAAATGACTTATTTCATATGATTTCCACCGTGGTGCAAATTTTGTAACAAATTGCACAACTTCATGTTTTGAAGTGTAGCCACAAAACAGAATTTTGGCCAATATCTTCAAAGTTTTGCCAGTAGTCAGTGACCTTGAAGTGAAAGAGATGTGTCACTATTCTGCTTGTTGGATTATGTCTCATATGTTTTGTTTTGTGAGTTGCCTTATCTTTTCCTGTGATATGCTTCCATTGTGACACAGAATGCCTTTTTAGAAGTAGCATGGATGTTATTCTCTGTGTCTTCTTTTTTCACTGCTTTGGCTATGTTACAACTGGCTGATCATGTGGGAGGGCTTCTTATATGATTATTTCCCATGCAATGATTGTCCTCAGGAGTGCAGTGATCTCATATCACCAGTGCCTTGTGTGGTGTCTGATACAGCTTAATATCAGTGGGGCAGTGTGGGATGGATTTATGAGCAAGCAGCAACTATATTCTATTGTAAAAGAGATGGTCCTTAGTCTGGTAATTGTAGTGCTGTAGTAATTTTTATGGTTATCTATCTTTATTCTTTTAATCATGATTGATATATTTGTGCTGCTTGTATTTTTTACATGTATATTGTGTATTTTTTCTTATTTATTCTTTCTACGGGCATTTGCTCTAAAACCTTAAAAGTTCCATTTATAAATGCTCCCATTCCTTAGCCTAAGTTCATTAGTCCCAGCTAGAGTAAATCCACTAAATCAATTACACTGAGAAAAGTGTTGACTTAGCAGGTTCCATTCATTTAACTGTATCTGGGACTAGCAATTGGATTTAGCCACAGACACAAATATTATGGCCTGTATATCCACTTTTCCTCACTTATACTATTTCTATTAAATAAGGTATTATGATCTGTTTTTATTGTAAATGTCCTGGACTATGGTTGCCAACAAGATGGAAGCTGAGATCCATAAAGGAAGTCCAAGGCTAGTCCAAGTCAAGGCCCAGACTACACATATGAGAATTCAGGGACTGTGCAGAGTCAAGAACCATAGCCACTCGTAAATTTCTTATTTATCCAGGTGACAGTCCAAATTGCATAAGAACCTGAGCCCTGCTGGATCAGGCCAAGGGCTCATCTAGTCCAGCTTCCTGTATCTCACAGTGGCCCCCTCAGATGCCTCTAGGAGCACAGGAGACAACTAGATACCTGTCTCCTGACACCACTCCCCTGCATCTGGCATTTTGATGTACAGTACCTTCCTTTTAAGATTGGAGACTATACAGGCTTGTAACCTGCGAGGGACTTATCCTCCAGGAATCTGTCTAATCCCCTTTTAAGGGCATGTAGGCCAGATGCCATCACCACATCCTGTGGCAAGGCGTTCCACAGACTAACAACACACTGGGTCAAGAACTATTTTCTTTTCTCTATTCTCACTCTCCCAACACTCAATTTCAGTGGATGTCCCCTGATTCTACCTTGTTTTCCCGAAAATAAGACCTAACCTGAAAATAAGCCCTAGTATGATTTTTCGGAATGCTCGTAATATAAGCCCTACCCCCAAAATAAGCCCTAGTTAAGTGAAACCCCTCCGTCCACCATTGTGCAGCCACCAGAAGAAGATGACATGACTGTATTTGAATAAATGTAGATTGTTGTCCATGGAAAAAATAAAACATCCCCTGAAAATAAGTCCTACTGCATTTTTGGAACAAAAATTAAAATAAGACCCTGTCTTATTTTCAGAGAATCACGGTAGTACTGTGTGAGAGGGAAAAGAGCTTCTCTCTATCCACTATATCCATCCCCTGAATAATTTTAAATGTAAAATCCATAATTTTAAATTTGCTGTAGGCACAAATTAAGTTGTCCAAGTCGGGTCAACAGGACATCTGTCAGATAGTATGCAAGGATTGCTGAAAGCCGAGGACAAGAACAAAGAGTGGGCGAGGTAAAAATATTGACCAGTGAACTTGTTTTGAGCTTCATCTATATTTATCTGGCCATGATATCCAGAAAGGTGAGAGTCTGCTTTGGTCTACTGCATTTCTGTGAAACATTTTTCAGCTAAGACCATGAGCCCCTCTTCTGTCCATATTCTCTCCTGCTGAGGTCATTCATCCTGTCCTTACCCCTTGAAAGGTGATTGCCACATAGGCACAGTTACAAATATTCAAGGACTTGTTTACTGTTGCTGTTTTGTTGACTAGAATCCTATTATTATTAATGTCAGCATAGATGCAATAGTGTAAATTGCTGCTAATTGAAGAGTCATTGCTTGTATTCCTTATTGCATGCTAAGTCGTGTAAATGACTCGTGATGAGGAATACAAGCATCAACTCCTTAACTAGCAGCAATTTGCCATTGCATTTGCACTTCATTATACTGTACATCAAAAGTAGAATTCTGGCCACTTATTTATAAAATGTATTAGTCTTTGCAACAAGAAGGTGCTCAGAAAGATTTATAAGCAATCTAAAAACCACTATATAAACGCAATAAACCTGCCACTAGTAATTACAGCAATAAAGCAACCCAGTACACACTGCAGAATCTGATAAAAGCAAGTAAGAACTAAAATATTGAATTTTTCAGTGGCAGCTGAAGGAGAATATCCACCCTTTTCAGGAAAGGCCATTTATGTACATACTTTCTGATTAGTTCATGGTAAATGCAGAATGATGCCTTTCCTGATGACTTCAATAGAAGTGGAATCATAATGAAGAAGATGATCCTACATAGGCTGTTAAGGATTTTACTAAGAACCTGGATCTTGAATTGTATACCATAAACCATCAGTGCAATTTGGGGAAGGATGAGGGGGGTCCAGAGGTATTGAAGCCACCCCCAATGTAGTAAAATTGTCTCCCATAACTCAGAAGGCACAAAGGAATTATCTGGACAATTTTTTCAAACAAAAATTGAATTGGGGACAAGAGTGATGGCCTGCAGTCTGCATTTTCCCCATTTTGCTGTGGTCTCATTTCTCCTGTTTTGTACTGTGATGTTATAATGTCGCATATTTGATACAGTACTTGCTACTTTATGTTGAGGAAACCTTGCCCACTTATATTGAGAATTCTCTTTGTCGTCACAATGGAAAGTGAGTAATTTTCTTTCTCTTTTGCTTTCTTTCTCATATGTATGTCAGATTTGTTTCTACCTTTTTCATAAATAGTTCAGTGATTTAAAGCCAAAGTACTGTAATCACAGGGTACCTCTTTCTTTCTTTCTTTCTTTCTTTCTTTCTTTCTTTCTTTCTTTCTTTCTTTCTTTCTTTCTTTCTTTCTTTCTTCTTTCTTTCTTTCTTTCTTTCAAAGAACGACCGTTCTTTTAAAGAAGAATCATCTTTCCCAGTTGTTATATTTCATTTATACCTTTTTTTTCTGTTTAAAAAACTGAATAAGCTTCCCATTTAGAACATTTAAGACTGCGAACACCTTCTGCTGTATTTCTAATATTTACACTTCAGGCTTGATACATCATTATGTCCACACAGGTGGACATAATGAGGGTCTGTTCAATCACCTGTCTGCTGCTGCAGCCGGCTCTGCTCTCACTTCCAATTGCTCTGGAGCTCACCATCGATTAGCCATTCCTGGCAGAAGGAGGGAAGACAAGCCTCCCTGGCAGGCTGATGAGTGGTTAGTCGACCATGAGCTCCAGAGTGATTGGAAGGGAGCACAGAGCTCATGGCAGCAGTGGACAGGTGAGTGGATGATCCTGCCCCAGGGGGCCAGACGCTCATTATTGTCCACCTGCATTGTATGAATACGAATACCCCCATCTCTAATCATAATACTCCTGGTTTTGCATTGGGATTAGTGTGCTTAAAATATCAATCTACATGACATACAATTAAGCAGGGTGGATTAAAATCAATGATTTAAAAAATCAAAGTGATTTAAATCATGATTTAAATTTTTAAAATTTAAATTGTCAAAAAAATCTGATGTTTAAGATTTAAATTATGATTCAACTATTTGATATAGATCAAATCCACCTTGCAGCTAAGCCTGATTGTTTTTCTTCAGGAAGCATATTTTTTTGGTCAGAAGCCATGTTTTTTTTAAAAACACACACTAAGGGCTTGTTTATTTTAACTCGTTTATGAACATGATTTGTTTTTTATTGTTTTTGCATATGCTGACCTGTGTTGGAGTCATTTGTGTCTATGGGATCTGTCATGGACTGGATATCAGGATCAGGGATTTCCAAGCTGCAGAGTAACCTTGCAGTGCAATCTGAGTTTTTCCCCCATCTGTGGCACTGATTTAGAACAAATCTCCCTGGGGGAGGGGGAAACAAATATTATAACATGATGGAAAAATCACTTCAACCCTTTCTGGCCTGCCTGCTCTTTCTTTCTTCCTCCAGGGAAGTGGAGTAGCTGGGGCAGCTAGCTTCTGTCCATGGAGGGTAGGAGAAGAAGGGAGGGCAGCTGTTGCTGTGCTTTGATCGAGGCAACACCTACATCCCCAAAATGAGAAGGGGAAAGAAAGGGAGAAGGAGGAGCCGGTAGCAGTAGCTCCTTCGCTGCTTCCTTGCCCTTCCCCACTCCTCCCACCATCAGCACCAGACAGCTTATGACCAGATTAAAAATTGTCCGAAGAGGATGCATACACCAACCCCAAAGCCGCGTGATTTTAAACCAAATTCAAAACCCCTGATTTAGCTCCTGATTCATTTCAGTAATGTGACCAAGCCCTTGGTCTCTCCATATTTCTGTGTTAGGTTACATGGTGTATCTGTTTTATATCTCTTTGATAATCTGGTATTATGGACAAATTTGGAAAAGTAGATGCCACTTGTAGTTTCTGATTTAGGATTAAAATGGAGAAGGGAAGGGAAAGGAGAAATTCAGGGAAGTGACAGAAGAACACAGAGTGGTTTCAACCCAACCGGAGACACTCATCTATCTGCACTTTTTTCATGGGCCATGTCTTTAAAATTAGAGAAGTTACTCTTTTGGTTTGCAGTTCCCAGAAACACTCAGCCAGCTGGGCCTCTGTTTGTACTGGCTGAAGGATTCTGGGAACTGTTGTTCAAGACATTAACTTTCCTAATCTCTGGGATGTGTTCAGAATGACCATAGGGCAAGGACTTAGACTTTTTAAAGTTATTTTGTTGGACACTCTTTTATGTATTTACGGGTTGCATTCAGGAAATGCTTCATCATGGCTTTAGCTACAGAGCCAGCTTGTTGCCACAGGGCATAGGCAATCTCAATGAGTGCTCACACCATTTCAGTTTGTTTAGCTACTACTAAATAGCAACTGAGATATTTTTAGAAGTTGGTTTCCTCGGTGATTGCACTGTGAACTCTTGGCTCTTAAACACACTGCTTAAATTCTGACACAAATGTACAAAACATTGAATTCCTAGATTTTTATTTTGGCCTGTGCAGCAACTTTTTCATATTTATTCCAATTGAAGAATATTTTGGATTTGGTATTTTGAGTAATCCACTTGTGTGTGTATGTGTGTTTTTTTTTAAATGTCCAGATTGATTGTAACAAACTGTGATTTAAAATGGTGGCCTGGATCCTGATAATATATTTTTATAGTTAAATTTCCAGTAAACCCAAATGAATAATTTATATTCATTTTCCATCGCATAAGCCCCAGTAAGCTGGAGATGGTGTAAAGTGATAGCAGAGAAAATGAACATGGTATTAAAACCTTACTTTAGCCACAGACTCAGTAGGTGGCCTTACATAGGATGTGTTTTTCTAGCTACAAACCTGCATCTACATTAAATATGGGGATAATTATATTGACCTAACTTTACAGGGCTTTTGAGAGGATTATTGAGATGATATCTATGTAGCTTGTTAAACAGTTGTAATGCTCTAAATACTGATAATGCATAACTTTTTTCTACAGTGTAAGGGCAGAAGATTATGTCTACACTAGCTGTGGCTGCCTAGCATGTTAAACTGTGCTGACATCTTAACCTTAGAAGTTAACTTTCAATCATGATAATGGAGTAAATGCTTGAATGCTTTTGTTATATGTATGCAGTTATATTTCCATTGTGATTTAGCCTTTGGTTTCTTAATATAGGCATCTGATACAAGTGGAAACTCAAGTCAAATAAGAAAGGGTAAGTGAACTGTTCTGATATTCCACTCTATCATACATAGTCTTAAGAACTCATAATGTATATTTCATAAATTGATAGGTTACCCTGTATTATATGAATTTGAACCAGAATTTGCTTGATTTTTTTCTGTATACTTTTAAAAGACACATGAGTAGTAACCATTGTATCTGGCAGGGAGGGGAATCTATAAATAAAATGCTATATAAAGAGGGATCTTATTTGTCTGTTCTAAATTTTCAGTCAATTCATTTAACTACATAACCCTGAGTGGGAGAAACACTTCTGTCTGACTTTCTTCTCCACACTATACATAATTTTGTAAATCTCACAGGCAATTTTTTCTTTTAAATGCTTTGGCTTGAATCATAGTTGCATAGGCAGTTTATGCTCTTTTGCAGGAGGTCCTCTCAAACTCTCTCTTCAAAGTTCTTTTTGATTTGTTGACTATTGGTCTCATGCTGATATTTAGCCTCAGATATACATTAGGACTGCGTTCCAAAGCAACCTGACTCAAGAAGGCTGGGTCCCAGTGCTCTGGGTAACACTACTGGTCTCACATCCTCTCTGAGCTATGGCTCAATCAGAAGGCTTGAACCCTTTCCCAAGTTCTTTGGGCAGTTCAGTTCTTTGCATGATTCATTTTACAACCAATGCTTGACCACTCACTTCATGGATTCCCTGTCAGAAGGCACAAACTACTTCTGTGATGCTGTGTGCATTTTTTTCAACAAGCTTCTCACTTTAGCATCAGTGTTCAGCATCATTGTTTTATTAATAGGCCACCTTTCTGCAAATACAGGGACCTAAGGGATTTTTTTGAGATTTGATGATCAGAACTTTATTTATAATACATTCTATTTCTAAATTAATCTATTTAGATTAATTCTATTTCTAAATTAACCTTAGGCTTTCTATTATCAAATATTAATTTGTATTCTGTTTCTGAGCCAATCATAAAATTTATGGCAACAATCTTCATGATTCATCTTTCTTGTTGAATCTAGCTATTCTGATCGTTTATCCAGATAGTTATGTATCTTTGAAATGTAATAGAGAAGAACGAGTATTGTAAAATGTTCGTGTTGATTTACAACCCCTGTTCAATCCCCCTGTCCCGTATCCCTACACCTAACCTGTAAGTTAAAATTAAAAAAAGAACTTTATGCAGTATTCTTATTGTTGCACTTTCATAGATTTGTATAAGAGCATCATAATGCTGAAGATGTATTTTCTAGCTTTCTTTTTAAATAGTCATTTTTGGAGCTGATTGTTGCCTGCTCTGAGTGGCAGTGATTTGGGGGAAAGTTCTCTCAATTCATTTGCAATCTGACCCTTTTAGCTAAATGTGCCAATGAATGAACCTAAAATTCCCATGTAAAGCTTGTTCTGTACTGTGCCCCCCTTGTTCTTTTCCTCCAGTCGTGAATTTATGAATCCTGAAAAAGGATACTACTGTACTTTAATTCAGCATGGTTATGTTAACCCCTGGGCACGTGCCTTATTTTTTAAATTCCACTCATTTGGTAATGTATATATTTATACACAGAGCTGTTTAAATCATTGTGTGCAGTGTTGTCAACTAAATAACTGATGAAACATAAGAATGATAAGCTAAAATTGGCCTGTCCAGTTCTTCAGGCCCTCTAATTGATTTGCATACTTTTCACAGTCAAATTCATCTTTTATATACGTCCTTTAATCTCAATATTATTTTTGGTGGATTTTGCACTGGGTTATTTACCGTATTTTTTGCTCCATAAGACGCACTCCCCCCTCCAAATGTGGGGGGGGGAATCTGTGCGTCTTCTGGAGCGAAGGTGGTGATTTCGCTCCCGCTGGCCCCGTGGGGGGGGGAACCTCGCAAGGGTCTAAGTTAGCCTTCCAGGGCCCTTGCGAGGCTCCCCCCACCCCCCCAGGGCCTGTGCGGGTGACATCGCCACCTTCTGGGACTCTTTTGAGGCTTGGGATGCTTCAGAAGAGTCCCAGAAGGTGGCGATTTCACCCCCTCTGGCCTCGGGGGGGGGGCTGGGTGAGCCTCCAAAGGGTCCTAGGGGGTGTTCCATAAGACGGACCTCTGCATAAGGCTCACCAATTTTTAGGAGAAGAAAACAGATTATTTTTCCCTGTTTTCTTCTCCTAAAAATTTGGTGCGCCTTATGCAGAGGTGTGTCTTATGGAGCAAAAAATACGGCAGTTCATCAGCTTGAGCACTGTCATGAATAAGAAGTGTAGTCACTATTATATTAGCATACATTGTAACTGCTTCTACAAACATGTTCCTAGAAGCCAGCCAGAATGTTTCATCTTTCCAATGCAGAAGGCTTTCATCTTCTGTTAGAAGTGGAAGGAAACAACATTTGCTGATGTTCTCCACTTCAGCAGCACCCTCTGCATCAGGCTGCTTGAGCATACTTTTGGAGTATGCACGGGCCTACAAGGAACTGACAAAATTCGCCCTTCCAGTTTTCCATCTGCAGGAATACACCCTTCTTTGCTCAGAGAATGTTCTTATTGATGGAAACAGAGTCTGGATACAAAGCAGGTTTATATAGAAACTCATACGCAGTGCCATCTGTAGCTGCATGGACGTTAAAACTTATGTGCTACAAGGAATAAGAAAACAACCAGCTGACACAATGAATAATATATCACTATACAACTTTTCAGTTAGATGCTGGTAGTGTTTTTTGCTCAACACATTTATGGATTATACTCGATGAACATCTGGCAGTTAGGAGATGGGCGATTGTTTAAAAAGTCTGATAGATTTTATTAGGTATGTGAAATAGATCTTGAGAGACTGTAGGAACATATGAACTTGTTTTGCAGCAACTAGAGAATTTTAGATTTGTTTTCAATTTTATATTTGTTTTCACAATGTATTTGCTACAGAACTGGGTAACTGATGAAAACTGTTTATTTTGGCTACAGTATAGAAGCAGTTTGCGAACTGACTTTCCTTATACATGTGGTGTGAACTGTTTGTGCTTTCACTGAATCTGATTTCTCACACCACAGTATTTAGGAACTGAAATCTTTCTGGCTTGATAATGAGTATTTATAGCTACAGTCATGGCCAAAAATATTGACACCCTTGCAATTCTGTCAGAAAAATGCAGCCCTTCTCTCAGAAAATTGTTGCAGTTGCAAATGCTTTGGTACTCACATGTTCATTTCTTTGGTTTGCATTGGAACAACACAAAAAAACAAAGAAGAAAAAGCAAATCTGATACAATCCCACTGAGAAACCCAAAAATGCGCTGCCCAAAATTATTGGCACCCTGTCTAAGTTGTAAAAAATAATTGCTTTTCAAGCATGTGATGCTTCTTTAATTTGTATTTAGACATAATTGTCATGGAGGTGTGGGCAAGAGGTGTGGGCAAGGACATCATGGCACTGTTTACAGAAAAAGAAATGAGGCATTCAAAGAAAAGAACACAGTCTCCACAGTCAAACATGGTGGAGGTTCAAAGATATTTTTGGGTTTCTTTGCTGCTTCTGGCACTGGGTGCCTTGACTGTGTGAACGGTATCATGAAATCTGATGACTACCAAAGAATTTTGGGGCGCAACATAGTGGCCAGTGTTAGAAAGCTGCATCTCCACCAGAAGTCATGGGTCTTCCAGCAGGACAATGACCCGAAAACACACTTCAAAAAGCACTCAGAAATGGTTACAGACAAAGTGCTAGAGAGTTGTGAAATGGCCAGCTATGAGTCCAAATCTGAATCCCATAAAACACCTGTGGAGAGATCTCAAAAGAACAGTTGGGAGAAGGCATCCTTCAGATATGAAGGCCCTGGAGCAGTTTGCAAAAGATGGGTGGTCCAAAATTCCAGTAGAGAGGTGTAAGAAACTCACCCAGGGTTACAAAAAGTGATACATGGTTACTGGAAGTGATTGATTCCAGTTATTTTTTCGGAAGGGAGTGCCACCAAATATTAAGTTAAGGATGCCAATAATTTTGGCCAGTGCATTTTGGGGTTTCTGTGTGAGATTGTATCAGATTTGACTTTTCTTCTTTGTTTTTTTGTGTTGTTCCAACGCAAACTGAAGAAATGAACATGTGAGCACCAAAACATTTGCAACTACAACAGTTTTCAGAGAGAAGGGTTGCATTTTCTGACAGAAATGCAAAGGTGCCAGTATTTTTGGCCATGACTGTATGTACAATCACAAAGAGACAATATCAGTCCTTCATTAAAACCTGAAACTTTTCTTCTTTTATGCTGTTCTTCACAAGTTTTAGTATGTCTGCCGATATTTCTTTGAGGCAGTTATTTGACTGAAAGTCTCTTAATGTGCTGGTCAAAAATCATTTGGCAATTTAAACGTATGTAGGTGAAATGAGATAAGTTGTGGTAGCAAAATGCTTCTAATTAACAGATGCTGTTTATTTCCTCTGCATGCAGTCAGGCATGTGCCTAAAAACAGATCCTGCACCTCATTCATTAATGGCATTTTGCTGCCATGATTTATGCCTTTTCACCTGCACAAGAGTAAATTGCCAATTGGCTTCTGGCCATTGCATGCAGTACTACTGATGTCTGGTTCGCTTTTATTCCCTTTCATTTATTTGTTTACTTTTATTCACAGAACTCTCAGAAATAGTGTTTGTTATCCAGAGTCAACAGAATTCTTTTCATATGAAGAAAGCAGATGAACTAAAACAGAATATTTTGAAACAGGCTGCAGCTCTTGGAGAGGTATGGGTACCTATAGATATAAATCAGTTTACTACATCTTCATGTTTTGAATTACAGTTTTACAATTCATTGGATGTATTTTGTCAAAACATGGACATCCTTTCAAGATATTCTGCCTTCTTACTTCCAGTTATCTATACAATATATTAACATTCTGTTGGTATTAGGGTGCCAACCTAATTATACCGTTGTGTATTGATTTGTAACTAGTGGTATCAGTTATGATAGCTCAAGCCTATTTTGTTGCGAGTTGTGCATTTTTGCAGTTAGCACAGGAGATGTAGCCCATATAGTTCTGTTGTGTAAACTACCATCTGACTTCTTGCATAATCTTTTGTACAGCAGTGTAATCTGGTTGACTGTGCCAGTGTTTTTTTTTCCACTTTGCTACCATGATGTGGTGTTTAGGCCAGAATTCCCTTTTGTTAGACAGATGTAGAGACTGTAATATTAAAAAAAATGAAGTACATATATGTGTGCTCAAGAGTTTTCGGGAAATGGAGAGGAGCCACTAAGTGGCTTACTTTTGTACACTTGTATCTCCTGTCATGAAGGGAGAGCCTGCATGAACTGAATGAAAATCATGTTCTTCAGGAACTGTCAGCTTCTTTTGGCACATCTCATTCTTAAAATCTTAAAATTAAAATTTGCAAATTTTCCATTAGATATTAATTATTATTTTTATTAGGAACATTTGATGATTTAGAAACTTGCACTTTTGGTGGACAGCAGAACAGACATGTGAAACAGACAAGCATAGTGAATAAAAAGCAATGATTTTTTAAAAAAAATATTTAAATCACACTTTAAATTTTTAAAAATCATTTTGAAAAAAATTATCAAAAAAAGAATTTTTAATTCGAATCAGGATTTAAATTGATTTGATTTAAATCAAGTCCACCCTGACCAGCTTAAAAATGAAACAAGAATATTGGAAAGACTTGCTGTGGGATTCGAGCATATGTGGGATCCTGAATCTGTTTTTATTTTTCCCTGAACCTTAAGGATTATTTCATCATATGCTTTTCAAACTATAAAATATTCAAAAGTGGTTTACCACTGCCTTCCGTACAGCAGTAATAAATATTAGCTTGCGTGTCACTGCCACTATGTAATGAAAGAGCCTCCACCAGTATCACCTTCCACTACTGCTGTTGCCCTTTAAGAATTTATCTACCCAGTCTCTGCTGGAACAATAGTTTCCCCCACTCCCCTGCTAATAACAGCCATTAATTTCTGAAGAAAAGGGATGCATCTTCGCCAATATATTCACATTACCTATTTAGTTAGTCAGAAGAACATTGTCAAAACTGTCTGATATTCAGCAGAGATTTACACACATCTTGACTTGCACACATTTCAGTATAATGTATGTAATGTATGTAAAATGAAAAGGTGTTTATGTGAGTGGAAATTGATTTTAAAAAGAAAATGGGAATGAAACAATTTATTAACACCATGTATTAAATACATTAAATCCAATGTTAAAATAGACTTTTAAGTTCTGGAAAGCTGATTATTGTGCTTGTTATTGAATGTTCTTGTTCACAAATACATGTGAACTTTGTGAAGAAGAACATTCAATAACAAGAACAAGCTGCTTGAAGAAAGTGGAAATACAAAATCTTTGCAGAGTAATGGTGCACATTGGGTTTTTCACTGGACTTTAACAAAAACAGGAAAATTAGCTCAAGAACAGTAAAATATCTGTTTATATGCAGCCCTATGGTGTTCAAATCTATTTCTGGGCAGTTTACAATGTAATTGTGCAAGCTACACATTGCCCCCCCCCCGAAAAGCCCAGGATCGAACTCAGGTTGTGAGCAGAGTCTTCACTGCAGTACTACAGTTTAACCACTGAACCACAAGGCTTCTGAACTGACAGATTGTTCCAAATAATAATGATTTAGCAAGAAAAGACAGAGGCAGTGAATAATATTCTCTAAATGAACTGGAAAAAATTGTGTGGAAAATGAGAGATTGACATGTGTGTAGAGAAGGGTGACAAAGATGCAGAGGTACATCTTTGTCACCCTTCTCTACTTTACATCAAGATGATGTAAAGTCCTATGAAGAAATAAATGTTAAAGAAATTGGGCTGTTCAGTCTCGAATCAAGGTGTTCAGTACATACCTGCTCATCTAGTCTGGAGAAGAGACCATTAAACTACTGATAAGATACAGTATACATCTTCAACTGTAGTAATGATGCCCAGCCATTGTTCTTTCTCATCTGATGACAAAGAGGCAGTGAAAGTCCTGCTTTCTGACTTTAGTAAAGAACTGGGTGTGAGTTAATAAATTGAAGCTCAATCCAAACAAGATAAAAGTTCTCCTTGTCAGCCTTGGATTGGGGTTACAGCTGGTGCCAAGTGTGGTTGCTGTCTCTTTAAAGAACCAGATGTGCAGTTTGTGTGTGCTCTTGGTCTCAGCTTTCCTCTTGAAAAACCATGTGGGTATTGTGGCCAGAAGTGTCTTATTTAGCTTCGGCAGGTGGGCCAGCTGACCTCCTCCTAGGGAAGGAGGATTTGACCACAGTATTTATGTTAAGTTCCTCTTGATTACATTTCTGTAATGCCCTCTATAGCGGGGCTGGGGCTGCCCTTGGAAGCTATTAGGAAGCTTACAGCTACTGCGAAATGTGGAAGAGCATTCCTTATAGTACAAGTTGTTTAGTTCAATCAGCTGCTTTGGGAAGTGGTAGAATTTCCTGTGTTGGCAAGAGTGCCTTACTATTTCTGTAAGTATTTTAATAGAGACATTATCAGAAATGTAAGAACCAACATCATGAGAGAGGGGGAGATTTGTGTTCTATGGAGAGCTCATGTAAAACAAATAGTAGTGGTGGGGGGAAGGAGCCTGGTGCTTGTCTAGAGCTAAGGGGAATGGGGTGGGGTGAATCTTTGCTCACCTTGCTCCCTCCCACAGCTTAACTTGGTGGGTTGACTGGTTCCCTGGATGACAGCATGCGGAGGCAAAGTGAGTCCCAATTTTAAAAATTGGCCACCTGTTTCCTGGCTTGGGCTCCTGTGTAGAGGTGAGGCACTCTACTGACTCCCTGCTCTTGTTGCTGTGGCTGCTGCTGCTGAGGCAAGCAAAAGAGCAGCTGAACTGTGTGACAGAGGAATCATTCACCACTGCCATCTGGTTTCATGAGAGGAAAAGAAGCCATTCTCCATTCTCTCCACTTTGATTTTTTTTTATTTTTTCAAAGCCAGTGTGCACACAAAGAGTTGTGATCTGTGCTGTGCTTTCCAGTTGTTTCTAGTTCTATTGGAAGCAGAACCTATTGATGCTGCCCTCTTCCCCACTTCTTCCCTTCATCTTCATTTTATAATTTTTTATTTTTTTATTTTCCAAAAGTGACATAGCACTTCTCTGCTGCAGTGCTAAATTTGACAAGCATAAAATTAAAAAAAAATTGTTGAGAGGGGGAGACAGCAGGTGCTAGTTGAGGGAAATAATTGAGCATTAATTTTGTGCCCCACTGACAACATCACCAACATCTGTGACTTCCCCTTTGCAGCAGGATAGGTGATTACACATGCCAAGAAATAGAGAAAAGTAGTGACAGGTGAATCAGCGCAAAATAAACCACTACCCCGCCAACTGAACAAAAAGAAACAGTTCCCCTTAGAGAAAGAATGGACTTCCCTGCACTTAGCTTTATGTCATACAATTTCTAGTAAATACTTCAATTTTAACTGTGCCAACTCAGTGGGGTATATTGTACCCTGAACTGGTAATTTAAGAATCACCAGATTACCACTAGATGTCAGTGTTATGTTTAGTTAAACATAATCAGGGTTGGGAGGCAATTAATTTACAATTTTTATACAAGCTGTTGGTCCAACTTCATCTAAGGAGCTCCATGGGTTCTTTGGGGTTTTGAAGTTGAGTTTTCCTGTTCTGTTCTGATACTATGATGCTGGCCCAATATAGTGGAGTTAAGCAACTTTTCTCAACCCCATGCTGTGACTTTAGTACATATTGGCTCTTTTGGGTGCCAGAGTCTTAGCAGAATGAGTAAGATCAGTAGACTTTACAATGCCTGGATGTTGGCCAAGCTTCTTATTAATTATGTTTAAAATGATTTCTGGTAATGCTTGGAAACATAATTGGTATAGATTTTTAATTGTATCAGCCTGCTGATAGAAAGGTATACCAAGCTTTCTGTGAGCTCAGCTTTTTCTGTTTTGATATACAGTATCCTAGAATTTCTCAGAATTACTAATGAGTTCTGCATTCCTATTCTTGTGTCTTTATTGTCATCATGAGATACAACTCCTTGTTGCTCATTGTGAACTTAAGTTTCATATAGGGCATTTTTGTGGGAGTATCATATTTGTATCATGTTTTCCCAGTCAGTAGGCATCCTTGAGTGTCAAGAGACTATGGTAACATGCTCTGAATAGAGGACTTGGAACAGCATCTAGTGTGGCTGAGAAGGCCAATTCAAGAGAAAGCATTGGCCATATTTTCTACAGGATAAGAAAAAACAATATGTTTGCAGCACGACTTCATTGATAATTGCATGTCATCAAGTATGTAATTCCCGTTTATGGTGGCTTTTCCAGCATTTTCTAGTTGTAGAGTACTCAGAAATTGTTAATAGAGATGGGGGTATTCGTATACAAATACGAATCCCCCCCCACAGGTGGAGATAATGAGGGTCCGTCCCCCTGAGGCCAGACTGCCCTCACCGTTCTGCTGCGGCCTCCATGCTCCCTTCCTATTGCTCTGGAGCTCGCGGTGGATTAGCCACTTTTCGACCTGGCAGAGAGGCTCATCATCCTGCCTCCTGTCAGGAATTGTTAATCCACCGCGAGCTCCAGAGCGATAGGAAGAGAGCGCGGAGCCTGTGGCAACAGTGGAACAGTGAGTAATCGCCACATCTCTAGTTAACAACATCTCTAGTTATTAACCATTCTCTTATTCTCAGGGTGTTCTGGGGATTGCACAGCTTGTCCAAGGCTACATAGGCTGGGTTTTTTCCCCAAG